AGAGAGACCTTCAGACCTATCTCTTGAAAATATTTTTTTATGGAAACGCGCCCTCTCCTTCGTACTTAAAGTGTTGGTACTTCTTAAACAGTTTCCTCACATAAACTCTGCCGAATCGGCTGAAAAGACTTGTCAATAAGCAGGAGTTGCAAAATAAAGATGAGGTGGAAAAGCAGGGATTTTAAAATTGAAGCGGCCGTCTCCCACAGATTCCACCAGGCGGAAAAAAGGCGACGCAAAGTGACAACGTGCTAAAGTTTTCGAAACATTTTGTGCCCTACCCGGTTGAGCACAATTGAATTATAGGAAAATTAATTTCAACATTTTGCCAAGGGTTTTGCATTAAAATGAATTATGTAGGCCAGAGCAAATATTTTCAAAGCGGTTTTCTCCTCCTTCCTTTCATCCCTCCTCTCTTTTCGGTATGACAGAAGAACCCTCAAGCAAGCTCTGACTGGCTCTGGCTGCCAAAATTAATCTTCGATTAAGGGTTGGTGATCCCTCTTAGAAGCTGCCACTTACTAATCCCGCTATGGTAATTTAAGTCTTGAATACATTTTTTAAGTTAAAAAAGCCTTAAAAAGATCCACGGCTGATTTAATGAAATCATGCATAGGAGCTATCTCCATTATGACCTGGCACCCGTAGACCCGTAGGCATTTTATATATATGACAGGGCCCACTACACAATGGCGATGGTTCGCCTTTGGATTCGAATAAGTTCATCTTTTCACTGCTTTGAAACTAACACTAATGCAAAAAGATAGGTGATCACGAAAAAGTCGATAGCGACCCAATAATCTTACAGACTCTCCTAAATGTGTATCGTTGGGTTGATTGAATATTGAAATTAATTGATGGAACCTATCGCTGGGCGTGAAATGTTACCTGGTTTCCGGGGGATGACGATCCTTTCCGGACAGGAAACGCTGCGTCTGACTAGAGCCAGAGATTGTCGCTCTGGGGTGATCCTCCGTTGAATCCTCACCGTGATTTTTTGCAGCTCTTTCTCGTCGTAGTCCCGTTTCTTCCCCGGGTGACAGTACAACGCGCCCTCACTTCCCAGAGGCGAGGCACTCCTTTTGCTCATCGTATGTTTCGTAACGAGAACTAGAACAATTAAACATCATGTTTAGACTCCAAAATAGTAAAGATAGCTTGGCTCATCATATTTTTTCATTTTTTTATTTTTTTTTATTGTAGTCTTATAATTGAACAAATTTACGTAGACATTTACAGACTGCCTTAGTCTTTACAATTCGGGTTTTATCATGATATTATCAAATATGAATATAGGTCCCGCCAAGAATTTAGAATGCTGAAATTTTTCAATACCGTGAGTAATTGGACGTATTTGTACCCAACGGAACTATCTGAATTATGACGTGAGCCCTGTATCCTGATAGGTCTCAGGGCTCATGTATTAATGCACCTAGTTCCGTTTGATAGAAATACGTCCATATATAAAAATTAGTGCAAACAGCACACCAAGTCAACACAATAAGACTCATCTCTCCGTAGATCGCGGTCGGACCACTATAAAACGCCTTCAATTGCGCGTGATACTGTGCAACACACCAAAGTCGAAATAGTTGTATTCTTAGGTTGGAACCTAACTCTAAGATAAATGCTGTACCAAATAAGGCACGTTAACCTGTTAATTGCTGTGTTTCAAGTTACCTTTCATATTTTATGACCGTTATCGCCCGTGACGAATAAAATAATGTAAGCCTCAATTGACCTTCAAAGAAAGAATTATTGTGTAAATGTGGCCAACGAAAGAGGCTCGCTCTCGCAATAGGGTACACGTGTAGGTGGGATCAAACCGTACGCCTCTCAGAAATGTCTTTAACTCAGGAAAGAGCCATTCTATAGCCGAGGTCAAAACCGCTGCTCAAAAATTCTTCAAAACCCTCCATCAAGAAGACTTCGAAAAGACGATCCTTGTGAAGTGGGCAAAACCGCTGAATTGGTGGTGTTCAAAGTGGTGGAAAATACTTCAAAAACAGCCGAATGTTGAGTCAGCCGTGTCATCCAATGAAGAAGCTCGGAATTCGTCAATTTCCGTAAGATTTTGCAAGTTTTTTCAATAAAAACACTCAATTCTCATTTAACTTTTTTTTTCTTGACAAACATATTTGTTGCTAAAAATCCTGGAGGCGGTCACGCTACATGTCATTTTTAAAACCCTGTATCTCTGTCATTTTTTAAGCTAGAGAATTTTTCTTGGTCTTGTTTTATTGGCAATTACGTCTACTTTAAGCACACACAAACCGCAAATCGATGGTTGTTTTTGTTCGCTCAAAATCCGGAAATGTGCAAAACTTTTTGAACACCCTGTGTATTAACCCTAGTCTGCCAAACAAGTTTTTTTTCCACTAGTTTGCCAATACCGGGTCAGTTTAGACCCGTATTTAAAATACACAGGATCTTCTTTTTTATTAGTTTTTTTAATGCATGCGCGTATTTTAAATGATGTTTTATATCAGGGAAACCTAAAATTAGACTTACAGGCCTAATATTATCTTTTTCGTCCAAAGTTAGATTAACCAACATTCAACATATTCATGAAAAACGCAAATGGCCACGTCGCGTCTGTCGTCTGGCCGTATAGCACCTGACCATTTGAGCCCCCCCCCCCCCCCCCC